TTTTAGTTGTCAGTGAAAGCGTTCTACCGACCCGTTTGCTTGTGGGTGGTAGGCGGTCGTTCTGAAGCGAGTGCTTCCTAATAGTGTGGTCAGACGATGGAAAAGTTCAGATTCAAACTGACGTCCGCGGTCTGTAGTGATGGTTGAAGGGCAACCGAAGTTTGCTACCCATCGTTCGACGAAGGTTCGGGCCACTGTTTCAGCAGTGATGTCCTTGATAGGTACTGCTTCTGGCCATCGGGTGAAACGATTTACACAGGTTAAGAGGTAAGAGTATCCATTTGAATCTGGTAAAGGTCCTACCAAATCCAGATGAAAATGGTCGAAACGAGCATCGGGAGTTTTAAATGAGCCTAAGGGACATTTATTGTGTCTGATGACCTTAGATTTTTGTCAGCTTACACAGGAGCGTTCCCACTCCCTCACGTCTTTATTCATATCAGGCCAGCAAAACCGTTCTGCTATGAGCTTGATGGTTGCACGAACACCTGGATGAGAAAGTTTGTGCAATGTGTTGAAGACATTGCGTCGATAATGTTTCGGGACGATTGGGCGATCCCTACCTGTAGATGTGTCACAAAGTAAGGTTGCCTTACCTGTTCCCATCTGTTTGATGCGTAGTTTAAGGGTTGTGAACGATAACTCTTGCTGAAGATCAGTGTCTTCTTTTTGAAGCTGGGCGAGTTTAAGAAGGTCGATTCCTTGGAAACTGTTCAAGGAAGTTATTCGAGACAAGGCGTCTGCAACTACATTGTTTGCTCCAGAAATATGTTGAATATCTGAAGTAAACTGCGAAATGTAGTCCAGTTGTCGGGACTCACGGAGAGAGTACTTGTCTGAAGAGGAGCTTAACGAGAAAGTGAGCGGTTTATGGTCAGTGAATAGAGTGAATTCACGGCCTTCGATATAGTGTTGGAAATGCCGTACAGCACAATACATAGCTAGGAGTTCCCTACCGAATGTACAGTATCTCGATTCGGTGTCTAGCAACCGTCTAGAGAAAAATGTCAAGGGTTGCCAGGAGTTGTTAACCCATTGTTGTAAGACTCCTCCGATTGCCGAGTCGGATGCGTCTACTGCGATACTAATGGGTGCTTCAGTGTCCTGATGTGCGAGCATTGTTGCTTTAGCGATCAGTTCCTTAATTGTGGAGAATGTTTTTCGTGCGGTGTCGTCCAAATTAATGGATTTTGCATTTCCACGAAGTTGGTCGGTAAGAGGTTTCATAAGTAATGCGCATTTCGGTATGAAGCGTCTATAGAAACTTACCAGGCCGTTAAACGTGCGTAATTGCTTGACGTTGGTCGGTTCTGGGTAATCCAGAATGGCCGCCACTTTGATCCTAAGAGGTCGAACGCCTTGAGCATCGATAGTGTGTCCTAGTAAGTGTAAGGAGTCGGTCCCGATTTGGCATTTCTGAACGTTTACAGTAATGCCATGTTTTTGTAATCGTTCGAAAACAAGATCCAGATGTATGAGATGTGATTCTCTGTCTGGACTTGCGATTAGGCAGTCATCAACATACGCATGTACGAAGTTGAGACCTCGAAAAACGTCGTCTATGAATCTTTGGAATGTTCGCGCAGCGTTTCTTAGACCGAAAGGCATTCGCACAAATTCATAGAGTCCGAAAGGAGTAATGATAGCTGTTTTCGGTATGTCGTCAGTAGCCATAGGGATTTGGTTATACGCTTTAACCAAGTCGATTTTCGAAAAGACAGTTGTACCTTTCAAGGTAGCTGTCAAATCGTGAATGTGAGGCAACGGGTAACGATCGGGAATGGTTTTCGCATTCAATCGCCGATAGTCACCAGTTGGACGCCGATCGTTGCTGTCCTTCTTAGGGACCATGTGCAACGGAGATGCATAAGGGCTGTTTGACGGTCGTATGATTCCTAAGTCTATCATGTGATGGAATTCGTTTTTCGCAAACCATAGCTTTTCAGGAGCTAGTCTTCGTGCTTTAGAGAATACAGGTGGTCCTGTAGTCGTGATGTGATGTGTAACATTGCTGGTTACACACGGTAGTTTCGGTTGAGTTTGTTTTATCTCAGGGTACTTATCGAGTAGTGGTTGATAGAGTGGGTCTATCATATGCTTAACTGTGACTGGGGATAATCTGCAACCAGTAAAAGAAGTTACGCAAACGGATAAATTAGTGTTTCCGTCTACTAGCATCCGTTTGCGCATGTCGATGATTAGATTATGGTGTTGTAGAAGATCCATACCAATGATTGGCATAGAAACATCTGCAACACCGAAAATCCAGTGAATGGGTTTGCGTAAACCCACGTTAAGCTAAACGTACCTTTTGCCATACGTAACTATTGGTTTTCCGTTTGCCGCTTGTAAGTTTAGAGCCGATTCGTGAAGCCGGTCGTTATCATTTGCTGGGAGAACTCTAACTTCTGCGCCAGTGTCGACGAGGTAGCTAACTCTCGTTGTCACATCTGTGACGTACAACAGACGGCTATGTTCGCCGGCTACGGTTACCGTTAACGCGTACCGGCTTGGAAATTTCCCGAGCTGGTTTTTGAGTCAGTCGTTTTCGTGTTGGGAAAATTGCAGGGTTTTCTGCAATTTCTGAAAGATTTTCCATACTGGTTATGATACCAGCACCAGTCGGGGTTATCCGTCTCTCGTGGTCTAGAGACAGATCGTTTACGTGAAATGCTTCTACGTGGGCTGTGTGAGCGATTACGATCATTACGAAGATTAAAATAACGCGTGAGTGTATGACATAACTCGGTTATGTCATTCTGAGTCGTGTGAGGATTTTCTTTGGCTGAAAATACCTCTGAAGTAGACGATTTCGTTATTTCTAAAATACGATCGGCAGATGCAGCCGGCTCGTCTGAGGTGTTGTTCTGAAACGAGACAAGCACAGTTTGCACCTGTTGAGGAAGTTTAGACAAGAAAATTTGTTTAAATAGGCCTTCGTCGAAAGTTCTTAGGCCAATCACTTCTCTCATTGTTTGCAACATGTCCGTCGCAGAACCGTGTTTTAGGTCGATGTTATTGAAGAGTTGATCTAACCTTTGTCGATCGGTTAGGTCTCCTTGTTTAAGAATCGAATGTTTTAGGATTTCGTAAGGATCGGAAACATCACTAGTAAACATACTAGGTGTTACGTACCTGTTGAATTCGCGCGGTAGTGCCTTGACTACTGCGAGGAATTGTGCACATGTGTCGATCAGGCCGTGCTCGTGGAAGTCGGCTCCTGCGTATCAGAACCAGGCTTCGATATTGTCGGGTCAGAAAGGCATGAGTTGAAACGAAGGTGGGGACAAAGTCTTAAGCTTGAGTAATTTGGGTGTCTGTTCAGCCATGACGAAATATGAAGTACGATAATAAACGAGGGGAATATATATATATATATATATCCAAGGAAAAACACGAAAAAAATCACAATGTTTAAAAAAATAAGGTAATGATATATGAAAATCCCAAAAAGGAACAGACTCACAGTTGCAATTAGGTGTACCAGATCACGACGGTCTCACCAATGAGGATGATACAGGTATTTAGTGTTTGACAACGCTTCTACCAGTAACACCTTCTAATATAATTTGTTCCCACCGAGAGAAATCAAAAGACAGAGTCGAGGAGATCGGAAGAGTGTATTTAGCGATAACCAATATATCGGGAATCTCTGATCTAATCTGGCTAGTGATCGCGGTTGATGTTGAGCACAGCGTTACCACACGTGATCTGGTGAGGATGCATGACCGAGCGCCTTCAGCTAGATGACTCCACTAAAACATATATATGCCCAGCATCCAATGTCGAAAACCTACAAAGCTATTTAGTTTGGGGATTTATTTAGGCACTTTTGGAGGATCTGACTCGACTTCAAAGTTGGGCAGATGATAATGGACTTACCTTTAACACTTCAAAGTGTAAAGTAGTCCATCTGCGACATGTCGCAGACTACAGTTATAACTTAAGAAACTCCTCTCTAGTAGTATCCCAAGTCGAAAAAGATTTATGAGTCCTGGTGCCCCATGATTTAAAGTCTTACGCTAACTGTGACAAAAATGCCTTCCGAGCTAACCTTGCACTGGTAACATTAAAGCGCATTTTTGGCCAGTTTGACGGAAGAACTTTCCATACGATCTTCAATAGTTTTATCCATCCCCATTTAGAGTACGGAAATATAGTACTCCCTCCCTCACTCCAAAAGGACAAGGTCACTTTGGAGCGTATCCAACGGCGAGCCACGAAATCAGTTCGCGGACTCAAATCTAAGCCTTACGAAGAACGCCTCCATTCACTAGACCTTTACCCATTAGAGTATAGGCGTCTTAGAGGTGATTTATTAATGGCTTATAGTATTCTTAACACTTCTGGACATCCTCTTAAACACCTACTCAAGCATAGTTCGAATACTAACCTAAGGGGTAACACCCAGAAACTGGAAACTCAACATAGCAAGACGGGATGTAGACACAACTTCCACTCCTTAAGAGTTGTCAAAAGCTGGAATTCGCTGCCGGCCGAGCTAGTCCAAGCGACTTCTCAGGAGTCCTTCAAGAGGCAACTTGACCTATTCTTAAGGACCAAGGACAGTATCACACTATGATTTACCAATTTCTTTTCCTCTTTTATTGTTAACATACCTAGGTTCCTGCCTGGAGGATTTGGTGATCCCCTGCTACTAGACACGGAAGCCTGTTAAGCGAAAGCTTCTTCTATTCCGTCCACAACCATTTGAACCATTTACCGCTACAATAATATCATTGAAGATTCGCCCTATATCATGCATCATCACGATGGCATCGTCTTCGTTACTTGAAGAATGGACGTTATCAGGCATGATGTGGCTGAACTCAATTAAAATCTAAAAATGTATTTATCTAACCCCTTCTGAAAACAATACACGAATTGTCGATGTGACGCACCAATCATCTCGCGACGGTTTGACCTTCAAGTGCTCGCAACCTCCTTCAGCGGACAACACCCCTGAAGTGTTGCCTTTTCCCCGTGCCGGACGCTACCTGATGGAGTTGAGTCCCAGTGAGTTTTCAGATTGCCCGGCACTGCAGGACAAAGAAAATATTGCTGTATGCAATGAGCCGAAGTCAGAGCTCATGAATGAAAAGATTGTCAAACAATGTGAATTCTATTTCTCGGATGCAAATATTCTAAAAGACCAGTTCCTTCTAAACTTAGTCAAGTCATCAAAGGAGGGATGGGTGGATCTCTCTGTAATTGCAGGTTTTAAAAAACTTCAGTCTTTGACGACGGACCTTAGCGTTATTCGTCAGTCACTGGCAGCTTCAACCAAAATCGAGGTGTCAGAAGATGGGAACACAATTCGACGCATTGATCCGTTGCCCATATGGGATAAATCCGTTTACTACCGTACCATTATATTGTCGGAATTCCCAGAAAATTCAAACGTCACAGTGGAAAGTATTCAGGAGTTCTTCGCGGTAAGCCAACTCCTTTTGTTACATTGAATTTTGACGATGATTGTATCGATAAAATCGGCAAATTCAGGCTTATTAAAATGGTTGTGAATAGCGCAGAAGCTTTCGCTCAACAAGGTTGTGTATTTAGTAACAGTGGATCACCAGTGCTTTTGGGTAGGCGCCAAGATGTTCAGAACAGATCTCAGAATGCAGTTGTACCTCTAGTTTCCGGGTATTTCTTTTAGGCTCGCGTTTAACACGAATCAAATTAGGTGTTTTGAAAACAGACTAAGGATCTTTTATTGCCTTTTTGGCATGGTTTTGTGCTTGTTAAATCCCATTATGAACATTCAGTCAAAAAGACATGACTTCTCAAGCGTTCGATCAGCGCGTCTAGCCGTTCTCTGTACTTTTCAGGACGCTTAACTCGCCACGTAATTATGGACCTGTACCTGTACACAATATATCAATTTGGACTCCAGTGGGCCTGTGTAAACCAACTGATTGATTCGTACTCTCAGCAACTAACAAATCTGTCTTCAACCTAACTAACCAGGCACGGGAAGATTCCTGAGTTTTCCAGCTTCGGTAGAGCTTAGTGCGTAGAACATTAAGGAAAGCTTTGCTGATATCGACGTTGATCACTTTTGACTCTTAGACACCTATCTACTCTGTAAAGCCCACGTTTGTGTAGAAGTATAGTGCATTGACTAAAAGTTGGTCAAACTATCAGTAATCATGCACTTCAGAGATAGTTCACTCTTGGTTTTTGAACATCCTTGCTGTGTCCTCTAAGATGTTCTAACCTGGTCAAATGTGTCATGTGTAAAGTCACTTTTAACCATCATAATTCATATGAAAAAAACCCACTTTAGCCAGTGGTAATTCGTATCCAGTAAGAAAGGCGTTCTCCTTATGGTTACCAACAATTTTCTAGCTACCCTGTAGTCTGAGCTATGCTAGTATATTCAAATAGCCTGGTTGGGGTTGACCAGATAATTGATCAGTGGTTGGAGACTAGTTAGAATGGCTCAATCCCTCAATAGCGTAAATGCATCCGCTGTGTAGCTTCTAATTTCAACTTTTATTATTCTTTCTTACATGTCTTTCCAAACTATATTCTCTAAGTTTCATATTTTTATCATTTCTATCACATAATTTCGATCCCTTTTGTTTTTATCTAATCGTGTTAATCGGATAGGAAACGTGGGCCAACACACATATGTGCCAGACTATGTTGATGATGTCTCCCTACCCTCCAAAAGTTCTCTAGGGCATCTGAGTCCACCACTAACCTGTTTTCGGTTCATACGCAGTTCACTGCTTTTCACCTGCTTCGGTTTGGGCACCCGGGCAGTATCACAGCCCTCACACATATCGAATGAGATTTGTGTGGCGCACATGTATTTGGTGCCTCAATGTACCAATATCTATGTGTTAAAATAAAATAATAAAATAATCACTGCTTTTCAAGCTGATGATTATATATATCCATATACCTTTGTCTTAAAATCATCTACTGTTTAAGAATACGTATTCCCAACCAAACAACAGAAATAATGATACAGAGGGTCAATCAGAAGAAGCTTAATGAAAGGGTCAATTGATGGCTCTCCATATTACCTTTTCCTCCTGAAAAATAAGTCTTGCTCCTTGGATTTAACTGAAAGCGTTAAAGAAAATGTCGTTTTGATGGTTTCTTTACCGTCTGACCATCACTTATGCACTGATACTAATCCTCCAAACTAACTGTCAATCAAATAATCTAATTGCAAGTTTCAGCTAGGAGGTTCTTTGTCTGATTTTGATGGAGTTTTGTTCTCTGAGCTATTGGATGGTTTGGTCGTGGAGCTTTCATCGTTCTTCTGAACGACATCATCAGCACAAACTTCAGATATAAGTGAAGTGTTCGAATTTTTCCATATGTGTTTCACAGCTTGTTCTGTGCATCTCGGTGTTGATTGGTTCTTATTGACCTTAAATTTATCATTGTTTACTTCTTTGTTTTGGTTGTGTCTCCCATTGGTTTGATTTTCGTTCCTGTATTTATTCATGATTTTCCTGATTGGTTGATAAATTGGATTGATTTCAATATGTTTGTTGATTGCTGATTGACCTGAATGCCAGGCTTCTAAAAATTCTCTGGTGTTTTTGGGGTTTCCTCCACCAAAATCATCCACCTGAGCTACAAATCTCCACCATCTCAAAATCATGTTCTTTGTCTGAATTTAGTCGTCTATCGCGACTGTGGATTACATGTCGCCCATTAGGAAACTGATGTTCAATTCTCTTCGCCTTGGGTTTATAATCTTGTCTTCTTTTTGGAAATATGCTAGTAAATGAAGTCGGAGTCTTCCTTCCGAACACTGACTCAGCATGGGAGATACCCTTAGGTAAGGCTGAATTCGGGTTTATTCTTGGTGGTTTCTTCGGTCTTGCTCTGGCCTCGTGGTTATTTTCAAAATCGCTGGAAAATTTCTGCCTCCATTTGTGCATCATGCGAGGATATAAACATACTTGATAACAAATTGGATGACTGATCGGGCATTTTTGAATCTAGATTACAAGTTAGATTAAATGGGTAACCTGCTTCGGTTTGGGCACCCGGGCAGTATCACAGCCCTCACACAAATCAAGTGAGATTTATGTGGCGCCTATGTATCTGGTGCCATCTTGTACCAATATCTATGTGTTCAAATAAGTAAAAATAAATGGGTAACCAGACATTTTTAACTTCGTGACCCAATCAAGAACCAACAGGTTGAAGGATTCATCAGCAACATAAAATTTGGGTTTAATTATTAAATCATTAGATCTTACTGTACATTTGATAATTCCAGAAATTTTGATTGGGATGCCCAATGCATTCTTTACTCAATCGTCAGTAGGATAAACGCTTGGTCGACCGAGCTCGTGCCAAGTTTTACGAGAAATCAAAGTAACATCGGATGCAGTGTTCAACCGCAGAGTGATAATGCGATCATTAACTTTAATAGAATAAATACTTGCGTAAGTAATGGGAGTTAGATTTCGACAATACATGTGCACAATTGATCCTTTTTGGTATTCGATAATAGTAAAAGGGTTTTCTGTGTTTACGAAATCCCTTATTATGGTCAGTTACTCCACATTTGCGCAATTATGTTTATTGAATAGGCAGAAGCGCGAAAAATGCCATGCCTCAGTTCCAACAACTAGTTGGAGGCCTTGTAGAACGACGTGAACTAGAGTCATGGAGATCATGCATTCGGTTCGGGCGAGGAAATTTTCGTGAACCATGCCTTGCGACACTAATAGTGCGGTGTGAATGAGAAATTTTCATTAAACCAAATGTATTGGGATTTGGACGTTCGATCATTTTAACATCATTTTTAAGATTAACAATATGACGACATTCATTTGTAATATCCTTCAACGTAAGATTGGGATTTTACTCGATTCGCTCTAAGATTCTATTACGAATGTTTGAGTCTGACGATGATTGCAACCCTGATACAAAAATAAGACACTTGAATTGTTCATCAGAAAGTGGACGCAACTTGGGACTTTCTTTTTGCTTAGTAACAAATGATGTACATGAAACAAAATTACCTTCAGGTCTCAACAATATAATGAAAAATTGACGGTTTTTTTGGCAAGATAAGATTCGAATGCTTTTCATGTTCAGTTGCTCCATGTTTACGAAGTAAAATTCTCACCTTCAAAGAGCTATCTTGGTGAGAAAACTTAACGTGGAAGATGTCTTCATATCTCTTGAACCATGATTCAAGTGTGACACCAGGATCAGGATCAAAATGAAACTCGCTCATTGAGTTGGCCAATGATTCGGTGGTCGAGCCCCTTATTCGGACACGTGTATTGAGTTTCCTTGACTTTGCAAGTTTTAACTAAGTCTTGCTTAATACGAAGTCTTTTGCTTTTGATCTCATTAATCCTTGCACAATAGTCCCTCTAATATAAAAAAGATAGCTCAATGTGTAAAGTACATCATAAAACACCCTACTTTTGTTTTCATTTTACCCTGCAGATAAATGGCCATCCTCCATCTTTAGTGCGCGTTCTGTTTCCAAACCGCAAGATACCATCTGATCTTAAACGTTCACAAATACTACATAATCAACTCGGCGTCAAAATCTGCGCTGTTGTTGAATTCCCCAATCGACCTGATGCATTAAAAGCAATTAATTTATCTCGCTCTCACTGGGGGAAAATATATGCATACCTTTTGTGTAAGTTGAACATCTTCCATTTTAAATATAGTTCCTTAGTTTGTATGATGTTGACATCGTTTTTTAATAAAAAAATTGTCGGTTAGCTAACAAGTACACTGTTAAATCTTTCCATAATTGAGTCACTCAATGTTACTCAGTACAATTTCATTTGCTTAGCTTTTAACTAACTCTTTGATCATTGAAATCACAGTAGGATGTCATGAGTAAGACCTTTAACGTAGTGGTTGGTAGTCACATTTGATTTTTGGTAAAATAACTAATAGGGAAGTTGTTTTCATTATTTTCAGTTACATCCCATAAGATCTCTTGTAGGATGCAGACAAATAGGTTCGCCAGTCATTTGGATAGTCTCGTATAAATGCTCTTGGCTTAAATCTTAGCGTTGGCTGAATGTTTAAATACGAATAGTTGTTTTTAAAAAAATTAGCAATCAGATCTTCATCAAGAGTTGTTTCTTCCGATTTAATGAGTCAGTCAGTCAGCTACAACGTAGGACCAGGCACATATGTGCATCGGTCCAGGTTGCCATACCGCATCAACACAACAAGATGAACACCAAACTCATAACAGTGGTTAGGTATAAGGTGGTAATATATAAGAGAAAGATTGCATATAGAGATATAGTACAAGCAGAAAGAATTGGTTCGTAGAAAGAAAGATATGAAGCGATTTTAATCTCATAGTTTAAGTGAAGACAGGGAGTGTATACACCGACGCCATTGTGATCGATTCTGAGCCATGTCACCAAGAGTCTCCAACCATTGGTTACGCCGACTTAATGATGATCGAGACATTTTCGATTTGCACTCACTCTTAGTGAAGTCACCATCCAATGTTTAGTGTTCACCCTCTTCACTAAAATAGGTCAAACTAGTCTTTCGTTAATAGTATGATTATAACAAACTATCTTTGGAATCATGATTATACTACTGGGCACGTCAAATTCATCTCATAATTTAGTAGTTAGCGAGTTTCTGATAATAAAACTGATTATTTCGGAATTGTTTTTATTTGTCACGGCTACTAAAAATCATGCCTATCCAAACTCGATGTATGCTGTCGACCCACATTAAAATGATAATAAGTACTGACTGTACTTCCAAGACTTAAAAAGTGCAATTAGAACTAATTACACCTTCCAACAACGTTTCACATTAGTGTTTACATGTACCTTGTGACTTTTTAAACCTAACCCTTCAAAATGCAATCTTAACAAAAAAAACAGTTACAAACCCCTCACAAAATTCACGTTATTAACCTTTGTGAGGTAAAATTTAATCATATCATCTGTTCTTCCGCGCAAGTTGATTGTATCGTTTTACCCATGTAAGCCAATTTTCTCCATATACTGCTGTTTGCTGCATACAATTATCTTGGAAGTATCTTCAACTTCGATAGATGGTTGATGTCTAATGAGGTAGTTATCTCTTCTTCTCCAGAAAGTGCGTTCGACAGATACTGTAGTACTAGCCGGAGACTTGAATGCTCAGGTCGGGCGTCTAGGCACAGAAGAAAGTCGTTTAGGTGGCCGATGGGGACTCGTTGGTCGCAGGACAGATAACGAGGACCGTCTACTGCAACTATGCACAGACCACAACCTGTTTCTGGCTAGCACTAACTTTCGGCACAGTCATCGCCAACGTGCCACCTGGCGTCCTTCCTCTGCATCTCAAGCCTGGACTCAGATTGATCACATCGCTATCAGCTATCGCTGGCATGGTTGTGTACAAGACTGCCGCTCTCTTTGGAGTACCTATCTGGACTCTGATCATGCCTTGGTCTGCGCCAATCTCACCTTACTTTTCAGTGGACAACGAAGTGACCGCCACCAAAGGATTGATGTCAGCAAGTATCGAATCGAGCTAACTTCTAGGCTAGCTATCATTCCACAGAAAAGTATAGATGAGCATTGGTTGCAATTGAAAGACGCCATGAAAATGGCGAGTAAAGTCACTTGTGGGTTTGCGAAACGTCCCGCTTATAAGCACTGGGTTTCTTCAGGCTCCTTACAACACATTGAGGCCCGTCGGTCTACGGGTGACCGTGAGTTTGAACACAAACGAAGGATGTTACGTAAGGAAATTGGGCAAAGCTTGCGTAAGGACCGAGAAGCCTAGTGTTCGGAGCGCACTAATGAGCTGGAAGCAGCAGCTGCATCTGGTAGCTACAGGAAGCTCTTCCAACTCATCCGAGCCACTGGCAGCAAGAAGTCTGGTGTGAACGAAACAATCTACGAGGATGACCGGATGCCGATCACTAACATCCATAGACGTCTTGGATGATGGGTAGAATTCTTCGAAGGGCAGTTCAACTGACCTGCTGCTCCGGCAACATCGGTCGGACTGTCCTGTCCTCCATGGCCGGTGACGACTGATCCACCAAATGAGGCGGAAATCCGCAAGAAACTTCAACTCTTGCAGCGCTACAAATCACCTGGCCCAGATAACTTATCTCCGGCCCTTTTTAAAGATGGTGGTGACTTTCTGGTTAGGGAACTGACGACGTTGTTTACAAATGTCTGGGAGCTAGAGAGTGTACCAACGTCATGGAATGAGTCGATAGTTGTCCATATCTTTAAAAAAGGTTCACGTCGATGCTGTAACAACTATCGTGTGAAAAGTCTACTTACGACTGCATCTGAGCTATTGGCTTCTGTCATACTTCGTAGGTTGTTCAAAACCCCAGAAAGATTGACTCGCGAGGAGCAGGCTGGTTTTCGTCCTGGCCGAGGATGTATTGATCATATGTTCACCCTCCGCCAAATATTAGAACACCGTCATACTTATCAAAGGCCAACAATCGTAGTGTTTCCTCACATCAGGACTTCCTTCGATTCGTTGGACAGGACTGTTATCTGGGGTTGTCTATTGAAGAAGGGTATGCCTGGGAAGTTCATTAACATCCTAAAGGCCTTATATACAAACACCTTAGGCAGAGTGAGGGAATACAACCACCTCTCTCCATTGTTCCATTCAAGCAGTGGGGTTAGACAGGGTTGCCCAATCTCACCATTCCTCTTCAACTTTGCCATCGACGACATTCTGGAAATAGCTCTGGTGGATGTAAGCAATAGCGGTGTGGATCTGTTGCCTGGAGAAAGACTTCTCGACCTTGAGTATGCGGATGATATTGTCTTACTATGCGATAATGCTCAAGCCATCCAATCCACACTTAATCAGTTGGCGATCAGTGTCCGTATGTATGGTATGTGCTTTGCACCTTCGAAGTGCAAAGTACTTCTACAAGACTGGCAGGATCCTAATCCTGTACTCACCCTGGATGGTGAGCAGATAGACGTAGTCGAGAAGTTCGTGTGTCTAGGTGGCTGCATAAGTGCTGGTGGTGGCGTGAGTGATGAAATCAATGCACATATAGTGAAAGCCAGAGCGGCTTATGCCAATCTGGTCCATGTTTGGCGTATTCGTGATGTTGGTCTGGCTGTAAACGGTCGGATCCGCAAAGCGTCGGTGAGAGCAGTTTTGCTCTATGCTTGTGAAACCTGGCCTCTCCGAGTTGAGGATGTTAGACGACTCTCTGTGTTCGATCATCGTTGTCTCCGGAGGATTGCTGACATCCAGTGGCAACACCATGTTAGTAATGCAGAGGTTAGGCATCGTGTGTTCAGGCACAGAGACGATGATGCAACTAGTGTCATCATCTTGAAACATCGACTTCGGTGACTTGAACATGTTCTACGAATGTCGTCCCAGAGAATTCCATGTCTTGAGTTGTTTGCCGACTCTGGGACTGGTTGGAAAAAGCGGAGAGGTGGTCAGTGTATGGTATGGTGTTGTGGTATGAAATAAAGCTGCAAAGGGTTGGTTTCTGTTGGTCCTTCTCGACTGCCTGGCTGGTTTCCGAGAGATGGTGCGACACAGTAGCTAGAGACGTTATCAGATATGGCTCAGAATAGAAGCTAGTGGCGATCCTGCAGTAAGCTTCTTTTACTCTTTTTTATAAAGTTGTTGTAACTTCCTTAACTGAAAGAACTCTTTCAGGTTGTACATTTCTGTTTCCCCCATTATTATTATCATTATTATTATTATTACACTACCATACACTAATCTGTGGTCGTCATTGTTCTCTTTTTTTCCTTTCTTCTCTCTTATACGCACCTTACATCTTTTTTCTCTTCCTTTTCTCATTGTTATTGTGTGGCGCATATATCACTGGTGTCCCATTGTACCAATATTTGTGTTCAAATAAATAATATAATATATTACTATGTTATGAGTCGAATTTAGTACCCTAAATTCATCCACTCCTTATCTTCATTTGACTTTTGAGGTTTGAAATTATCTTATACTTCTTTTTTATTGTCTGGATTCATGCTTTTGAAAGTGTACTATCTATGCCTAATTTTTTAACTATCGCTGATACTACTATTACTACTGCCCCAATAGACATCTTGATAATTTAATCCCAGTGTGGTGTAGTAACTTGATTCGATACATTTCACAAGTCCTTACAGTGCTTATGAATATGGTTCCGTTCTGTTCTATTTCGAAAGCTGTTACTGTCGATAATTATACTTTCACTTACTATTAACTTATCGTAATTATTTTTTTTGTATACAAGGTCATGGCAATAAAAAACTGAATAAAAACCAACCTGAACATAAGACGTAAGTTCCCCTAATTGCCTTATCTTTTCGTTTATCGTAAATCATGTTTTATAGTAATTACAGCTCATCAACTTATTCAGGCAACTCCGTGACGAGTTACTGGTTGATTTCTTTGAGGTCACTTGTGCGAAGCCTGTTGATCTTCGACCGCCTGCTCGAATCAAGATTGTTGAAAAAAACTAAGCATTCAAATGATATTATACGCACTTATCCGTATTTGCTTCGATTAGCTTCACCGTTAGCTACTACATAAGATTAAAAATATGCATTTCTTCTCAGGGCTTGAAAAAAATACTTCAAAGTGGTCAAATTTCTGCGTAAATAATCTTTTTTTGAAACAGATCCCTCGCGACAATTCCATTATATTTAGATGTCAGATTTCCTTAACCCAACACATAACCTGAGTCTACAAGTAAATGAGGTTGCCAAAAAATACACTAATTATGGTCAAACGAGGCATTAGTGATATATGAATTATTTGTTATTGATGTATTGTTAGTGAGATATTATAGATTGTATTAAAACATGTTCCGTGCAGAATCTTGTTAAGGAACGCTGATTGTCCATTTCTTAGCCAATCAGCACCAGGAGATACTTGAGAGAGACTAGAATCTTGTATGAAGATTATAAATATACTGACGTTTTTCTCATTGTGATTTTTACTTCCATTCAACCTTTTTTAATTGGAATATAATTATGTTCCTGTTCAACCGTTTTCTGATTTAGGAACTTACCTAGTGAAGTAAGGTGTATGAAGAATACTAAGCAATGAGACTAATTGGGTCATATTAAGAGAGATTGTAACACCGTACCCAATACAAATTGTCCTCATTATTGATGATCTTGCTATTTTCTAAATTATATTCATGAAAAGCAAAGTAACAAATGTTTCCACATAAAATATATATCAATGATTCACTAACAGTTTACCGCTTTGATTTTCAAAGCGATTAGACACCATAAAATCATGTAAACATTATCGGGTGTTCATTACATGATAAGTATTGTTCGTGAGATGTCATTTTATCAATGGGAGTATTTCGTATTAAAAATTAATTTCTTAACAAAAATGATAAGAGTTTCAATAGCCATCCATGTCATAAACTAATCTATTTATTCTACTTACAGTGAGTTCCTGTACATAAAGACTATTGGTTTTGGTTATAATGGTTGTTTACACAGAGCTTTCACTAGTAAATTTAACGTGATAGTTTTTTTCGGTTATGACATTGGATGATAGGAGCTCTACATTCGACTCGACCACTCGATTCCATGTCAATGATTTATAGATAAAGCGCTCTCTGTGGGACCTAAAAGTCGTGGGTACGGTTCTTGGTAAACATTGTTGAAGCGCTGCCTCAAACTAAGATAAAATGATTATCCAGTGCTCCAAAGTTTCCAGAGGTTCTCCCACCTGATGCCGATCCGCCATAAAAACCATTTTCACACTGATTTAATCCCTGAAATATAAAAAAAATTAATATCACTTCATAAGGGTTTGGTCATAGGCACAAATAATAATTAAGTAGTCGATATCTCATCAAGCAATCGGTTATTTTTATTGTTTGCGAACAGGATTTATGAATCACAAACTTGAGCCGAAGTTCGGTAATCTATATAATGTTTGTAAATTCATGTGGTTGTACAAAAAACTGCCTTTTGGATAATTGTATATGCGTATATGTAGTCACAGTATAAAGTCATGGATACCTGAATTCGTCATTTTTCATTTACGGTTCTTTTGAGCATATGCCAAAATTCTGGTTTTTGTTTCTAGTGTCCCTAATACCACCAATTCCAAGGGTGTTGCTGATGACAAAGTTGATCCCATTCGCAAACCGTTTCTACGTCGTCTGGATGGTCTTAGCAACAATAGCATTCATGTGTCTCACGTACGAGAGCCAATAGCTCCACCAACTGAAGAAAGTGTTGGTTTTTTGCCTGGTTGGCGTGAATTACTCCGGTTGCAGCGAATGCTGATTTGTGACGGAGCTGAAGTGAATAAGTCTTCAGAAGCTGAACTTCAGCAATTGGATAATGCGATTGTTTTTATAGACTCCGGTGCAGTTTGCGCCTCTTAAAAAACAAACAGTCACATATGACAGAAGTATGTCAATTTTTCGGTGATAAATGCATCCTTCATGATCATCTATATTTCACTTGAACCACTCATATCTCTCCATTTTTGCTATATATATACCAGATTCAGAATACAACAAAATTCTCTTGTCTAACACTGGTGACACATTCCTATTTTATAACAGATATTTCTGTAGTTAGACAAACGACATTTTTTCATCAAACTATTTCAGAATAATTGTTTCAATTCTTTTTTTAAAAGTTGCCTGTAATTTGAGATATCAATAGATGCATCTTCTAAGTAATATGACAATTAGACAGTGTAAAATAAAGCATAATCATATGATGCATGAATACCGGAAAATTCGTTTGTGAGATCTTTCATTGCTTTTTTGATATATCATCTCTCAAAAAGACACTTGTTAACGGTCTAGTTCTGCTCTACAAGACGACGTCCAAACAATACGTTCCAGAAACATGAATACCAACATATTCTGCTATCATTCCATGACACGATGGCAGATTTTCTCTGAGTTTGTTATCAGTGCCTAGTGTGTGAAGATTTAGTGTACTATGTGTAGACTGTATTCATGATACCGAAGTTTGTCTAGACGTCTTCACATGTTTGTTTTATGTGTTTGTGTCATCAGACTCATCCTGTTGTTCTGTGTTATTTGACCTATTCGTTGCTATCAACGATAATACTTGTAAGGTAACATGGACAAAGATTTCAGCAGAATAGCATGAATTCATTTTATTTCGTTTGGTCGTCGTCAGCTGCTTACAACCTGTGATATTTAAAAATTATAATTGCATACATGGAAGAGTTTAGTTGGAAGTTACTTTGAAGACATGACAGTATAGTATAGCAAGGGTGTAAGTAAATTCAATAGGCTGAATAGAATACTGTTGTTAGCGGAATATAAATTGAATTAAAGCACATTCCGTGCAGGATTATGTCGGGGCACGCTGATTAGCTATTTCTTGACCAATCAGTGCTAGTGGATACTTGGAGAGGACTTTAGAAAAACCATAAATATTCTAACGTTTTTCTTATTGTAATCCCTACTTCCATCTACCCTTGTTATTTGGAATATAATTTCGTTCCTGATCAACCGTATTCTGATTCGGGGACTTCTCGAGTGAATTGGTGTCCAAGAATACTAAGCAATAAGAATAGCTGCGTCGTAATAAGAGAAATTATAACAACTGTGAATATACATATTATGGGAAAGAACATTCTACGACATGGATATTAACAAAAGTCCAAAGAGCTAGAAACATAACGAGTAAACGCTGATAATACGTAAGAATAAAGTGAGTAAAGCTCATTCTATAAAGATAAGATCACTAACTTAGAAGACAGACGGAATAAAAAGACAGTGATGTAATTAGTTGAAGGAACATTGAACATAATTTTCATGTTACCAAAGCTAAGAAAGGTTTAAATCTTTTGAACGCTTAAATCAAGTTTCTGACGCCCGTTAGCAACGGCTTTAGTAGACTAGAGCTTGACTGTTTACGAATTATTTTGAAGGATTGCAAAGTATTGAGTTTATGTCCTTTATCCAACAGATGTTTGGTAATTGTGCTGTTTAAAGTAGTTTTCTCTTGTTCGAAAAATGTAAGATATGGCCTCCTTTCTGTTCGACCAATATAGCTGTTTTGGCAAGTACTTATAAACACAGTTGGCGGTAATATGAAATGAGTGCTTATCGACATTTGATTAGGTGACTAAACATGTTTTATACAATATTAATAGTTTGTCTGCTGGGTACGTTTTGGTTAGATTCAACACTTTAAAACAGTCGAAGAAAATCCCATGTTTCATAATAATAGTTTGATGCTATCCTTTCTCTCATGTTATACATTGTCGTCAAATACACTTATTAAACAAGTTTGCAATAGACAAGGATCCCATCAGATTTACAATATATTCATTAGTTTTCCTACCGTTTAGGTACATATTCAGTCATCACGTATAGGATATTACGGTTTCTCCACTCGATGTGTCTCTATACGCACATAAACTGATTAACACAGTCTGATATAACCTAGTCACCTATATAGTGTTTGGGTGTTATGTTTAGCTTAACTAGAGAATTCCCATGTCTCAAGAGTAAGGGATTTATTGTAAGTAGATTATTAGCCTAGTCGTTATCCTTCTTGTTTCATTCGCATTTAATTATATCAGTCAGCTACAACGTAGGACCAGGCACATATGTGCATCGGTCCAAGTTGCCATACCGCATTAGCACAGCGAAATGAACACCGGATTCATAAAAGTAGTTAAGTCAATGATGGTAATATATAAAAGAAAGATTGCATATAAGGATATAGTATAGGAAGAAAGAAAGATATGAAGCGATTTTAATCTCTTAGTTTAATGGAAGACAGAGAGTGTATACACAGACGCCATTGTGATTGATTTTGAACCATGTCACTCAGAGTCTCCAACCATTGGTTACGAAAGTCACGCGGACCCTAATCAAGTAGTCTGCATCTACCAACATGGCTCAGACTAGAAGTTATTGACTTCAAGCACTGATGCTACGTTTTGGTTTGGCCACCCCTAATTCTCTTCCAACCATCTCTAACACCCGTTAGCATTGCACGACGTGGTAATCGGTGTTCAGGCATACGTAACACGTGGCCCAACCATCTCAGTCGATGAAGATTAACAACCTCATCAACTGATTTATCATCAATCCCTAATACCCTGCGTCTAACCTCACTATTACTTACCCGGTGATCCCAGCAGACTCCAGGAATATTTCTAAGGCATCTATGGTCAAATACTAGTAAACTACGAGTGTCTTCTACTCTTAATGGCCACGTTTCGCAGCTGAAAAGTAGAACAGAACGGACTGCCGCGCAGTATACTCGTCCTTTTATTGATAGACGGGTATCTCGCCTTCGCTATAGGTGACGTAAGTTGGCGAAAGCCAAACGACTTTTTCGAATCCGTGCTGAGGTTTCGTCAGACACCAACCCATTAGTGCTGATTAGACTTCCGAGATAAGTGAAGTTGTCAACGCGTTCGACTACTTCACTCCCTATCCTTAGTTCAGGTGTTGACGCAGACCAGTCCTGAAGCAACAACTTACATTTAGAGGGAAAGAAGCGCATTCCAAACATTTTGGCATTGTTGTTTAGTGCTACCAAAAGACTGCATTTTATCAGCGTCTTCACCAAACAGAACTATATCACCTGCGTATTCTAAGTCCATAAGTGGACCTCGTGGAAGGAGATCAATACCCGAGAATTCCGTAGACGAGAATGTTATTCCCATCAATAGGTCTATGATGAAGTTAAACAAAAATGGAAAAAGTGGACAGCCTTGATGGACACGACTTGTGGTTGCAAAAGCAGATGACAGTTCGTCATAAGCTCTCATTCAACTGGTAGTGTTCGAGTAAAGAGCCTTCACAAGGTTTATGTACTTCTGGGGTACACCTTTCAATGTCAGACACTGCAACAGAATCTTGTGGTCTATCGAGTCAAGTGCTGCTTTTAAGTCAAGAAAGACCACCATTGTCGGACGCCGATAAGTATGCATATGTTCTAGAACCTGACGAATTGTGAATATGTGGTCGATGCAGCCACGACCAGGTCTGAAGCCAACTTGATTCTCTCGTGTTTGCAGTTCACGAGTCTTAGTTAGGCGTCTGATAATTATCGAGGCTAGTATTTTAGATACTATATTAGTCAAACTAATCCCTCTATGGTTGTCACAGGATGATTTTAACCCTTTCTTATATATTGGGACGATAAATGATTGTGACCAGTCAGATGGAATAACGTCTGACTCCCAGATCTTAGTTAAAATATTAGTCAACCTAATCGCTAGAATTGGACCACAATACTTAAAGACATATGGAGCCAATCCATCTCCCATTCCTCGTTTCAGACTAGCTATGGCCTTTTGAACTTCAGCTCGAGTTGGGTAACCTATTTCAATGTTCCATTCACACTGTCTGGGAATGGTGGGTAGTTGTAGAGTAGCTGAAGGCCAGCTCAGCTGTTCTCTGAAATGTTCCGCCCATCGTTCCAAACGTCTAATGAGAGTGTCGTCTTTTTCCGAGATAATCTCTTTTACACTTGACTTTTTAGTTCCAGTTTCTTTTATAAGTCTGTAGAGCTGTCTTGTGTTCTTTATAGTCGCCGCCTTTTCCATCTCTTTTGCTTTCCTTGCCCACCACTGCTTACGGTCGTTCCTTAGACTTTGCTTAACCCGGATCTGATTTGTTTACGCTCTTCATCGCGTTCAGAGCCTGATGGGATGAGTTTACGAGAATCCATCAGTGCAATAGACCTTGAAGAAATCCATTGGTTCTTTGTAACCCTGTGGTTTAAATCACTGATAGATGTCACTGCTATTTCCATAGCTGCTTGTATATCTTTCCAAGAAACATTTGGGTCAAACTCGTTTCCAGAACTACGTAATTGTGATCTCAGTTGCTCCTCGAACCTAATTTTGGTTTTCTCGCTACTCAGTTCTAATGGGTCTTTTTACTGTGGCTTTTTTGCGTCCAGTGAGGCGCAAGCAGATGCGTGCCCGTATTAGGGCGTGGTCGGAGTCCAAGCAGGTACTCCAGAATGAGCGACAATCTTCTACCGACCCTCTCCAACGATGACTGATGGCAATATGGACTATTTGAGTCCATCGTTGGTTTGGTGTAAGGGGTCGCCATCTAGGCGATGTCTCTCCTTATATTTAAAATTTGTGTTTGCTAAAAATAAATGATTGTCTGAGCACAGTTGCAGCAGACGATCACCATATCCGTTCGTTGTGCCGGCATACTAAAATACCCACCTAAATGCCTTTCTGTTTGATTTAAACTACCTATCTGGGCATTAAAGTCACCTGCTACGAGTACTATGTCTGAACGTTTAGCTTTCTGAAGAAGTTCAGATAGCTTTCTGTAAAATTCATCTTTCACTTCATCCGAGCTGTAGTCAGTGGAGCGTAGGCAGAAACGACAAAAAGGCAACGACGTGTGTCCCTATCCTTCCGAGTTCTTACGGAGCCGTTTAGCCGAACATCACAGGGATCCACTCTAATAGTGTTTGTTCCACCCTCATGC